GCCCAGGGATGCATGAAGGCTGAGTCCAAATTTTTAGGGTCGTACGTGGGTAAGAACCTCACCCTAGAATTTCAGATTCTTAGCTTTCGCAATTCCGAGATAATAATTTTCCCCGCAGAAACTTTCACGGGGCCTTAGGTGATATTCGAAAATTTCAGCTTCCTAGATTCCGTTCGAGATTTCACCTGGCCGTATATCTCACCCGCGGTCACAGGAAGGCTGAATTTAAATTTTCTGGACCGCACGTGGGCAGTAGTCATTCCCCTAAATTTTCGGCATCTTAGCTTTTTTGTGGTTCCCGAGTTGAAAGTTGCGGACAAGTTGCTGCGGACGCACACACATACATCTCCGTGACAATATGCGCTTTATGCAGCTGTTTGCACGGCACAAAACGCATAAAAAAGCATAATCCCTTTTCTGTTTTGTAAAGCAGTACTGCTGCACATTATAGAGCAGTTTTTCAGAGGGGCATTTCGGTCTCTCAGCAAATGAGGGGTGGCTTTTGCATATGCTCCTTTCTGTGCCATTGCCTGGTTTATCTGTTTTACTTCGTTTCCGCCGGAAGAAATTTCCAAATATAAAGCATTCCACTATTTAACCGCACGCTGAATCCTGCTACTAATTTGATCAGTTTTGCATGAGACGAAAATTACTAAACAGCGGCCGTTAGCCATGGAAATGTGAGTGTGTTAGAAATGCGCCTGAGTTTAAAGTTTGTACATATTTGCACACTTAAATTTATCGGTGAAGGAGGTGAGGCGATTTGATAGGAGCAAGCTGCTTGCTCAGTGAAGTTGCATTTTTGAGTGCCTTATTTGAATTAGCTTGAAGAACGAGATGAAATCTAATTCCAGTAGAATGCAAAAGTTTCGAAAAAAGCTGGTCTCCAGGCAACAGCGAATTGGAAATTGCAAAGCAAAAGTGAATTAAAATGAGGCCTATAAAACAAAAAGGTTTTCTCCGGACATGTGCAACTAATTTCGCACAGTGAACTTAATAAGATTCATTAAAAAGTGAGAGGTGAATGGCATTGCTTGCCTATGAATAGGAAAACTTCCTGAGTTGCAGTACTTTTTCAATAAAATGACGTGC